CAAACATTTCAGTATTTTGATTTGAAATGAGAATGTCTCCTACAGTCGTGGCCAAAAGTTTTGGCAGTGACATAAATTTTGTGTTTTGCTAAGTTTGCTGCTTAAGCTGTTGTGGTGTTCATTCACATTGTTTCTAGATTATTGTGTACGGGGGCGTGTCTACATGGTGGCCAGGGGTGGCACCGGCCCCCCCTGAAATTTGGACAACGGCCTGGTGTCAAGAAAGGCAGCAAAGAAGCCACTTCTCTCCAAGGAAAACGTCAAGGACAGACTGAAATTCTGCAGGAAGTACAAGGATTGGACAGCAGAAAACTGCTGCAAAGTTATTTTCCCTGATGAAGCTCCTGTTTGGGACATCTGGAAAATCGATTGTTCGGAGAAGAAAAGGTGAACGCTACCATGAGTCCTGTGTTGTGCCAACAGTGAAGCATCCTGAGACCATCCATGTGTGGGGTTGCTTTTCAACCAAGGGAGTGGGCTCTCTCATAATTCTGCCCCAAAACACTGCCATGAATAAAGAATGGCATCAAAACGTCCTGCAAGAGCGACTTCTTCCAACGATCCATGAGCAATTTGGTGATGATCCATGCATTTTCTCATGGATCTCAATCCCATAGAGAACCTGTGGTCAGTCCTCAAAAGGCTCGTGAACAAGCAGAAGCCCACAAATTGTGATCAACTCCGAGAACTGATAAGGCAAGAATGGATCACCATCAGTCAGGATTTGGCTCAGAAGCTAATATCCAGCATGCCAGAGCGAACTGCAGAGGTTATGAAGAACAAGAATTATTTTATTTTGCCAATAAAAGCCTTTAAAACTTATGATATGCTTATTATTGTTTTTCAGTATACCATAGAAATATGTGGAAAAATTATCTACAAATACTGAAGCAGCAGACTTTGCAAAACACTAAATTTATGTCACCGCCAAAACGTTTGGCCATGATGACTGTACATTTATGTCAGATGTATTTTTTACAAATGCAAAATGCTAATCTGAAAATAACACATTTCTCAGTTATTTCTTGTGCTATACTTGTACATCTGGAAAATCTGATGCAATCTGTGGTTACTGAATGAATGTCTGTTTTCATTCATGTATGCCACTTTTTGGAACACTTTGTCCATTGCTTAGAGATTCAAATTTCGCGGATGATGTCCATTTGTGTGCTTTATTTTTCAGCACTGATGATGACGTGTTGCTGCAGAAGTATCTTATGTGTTCAACTTGTATTTGTTTTACTTTATTTTTTTTCATGTTTTAACTGATAAGGCAAGAATGGATCACCATCAGTCAGGATTTGGCTCAGAAGCTAATATCCAGCATGCCAGAGCGAACTGCAGAGGTTATGAAGAACAAGAATTATTTTATTTTGCCAATAAAAGCCTTTAAAACTTATGATATGCTTATTATTGTTTTTCAGTATACCATAGAAATATGTGGGAAAATTATCTACAAATACTGAAGCAGCAGACTTTGCAAAACACTAAATTTATGTCACCGCCAAAACGTTTGGCCATGATGACTGTACATTTATGTCAGATGTATTTTTTACAAATGCAGAATGCTAATCTGAAAATAACACATTTCTCAGTTATTTCTTGTGCTATACTTGTACATCTGGAAAATCTGATGCAATCTGTGGTTACTGAATGAATGTCTGTTTTCATTCATGTATGCCACTTTTTGGAACACTTTGTCCATTGCTTAGAGATTCAAATTTCGCGGATGATGTCCATTTGTGTGCTTTATTTTTCAGCACTGATGATGACGTGTTGCTGCAGAAGTATCTTATGTGTTCAACTTGTATTTGTTTTACTTTATTTTTTTTCATGTTTTTATTGATTTCACTTAAAGAAGCTTTTCTTTATCAAATTCATATCTGCAAATTCTCAGTGATTGTATCGGTGAGAAATGGAAAGTGTATAACATTTAAAATACCTCAGCTCAAAGAATATGTATTTTATTTCATTTTCTGATGCTAACCAAAATAAAATCTCCTTTTGAATTTTTCCCTTTGCCCATCGCTTCTATGGCAATAAATTCTGTACTACTTTCTCTAGGGTTGGTTGTTAATATGTGGTTTGTAACTTAAAGCCATCTCATCCAGGGTTTAGGTTAACAAAACATACCATTGTAATTGGCTGCTAATGGGATGTCCAAGCAAGCACCCATGTTGTGACTGCTCAATGTAAAATAAAACATAAGCCATTGTTTCTTATTTGAGTTTACATGATTTTAAACCGATATTTTATTTAATTTTTCTAACGTAGAATCATTTCTATGTGGGTAAAACCTTTTAATGATGGAAACATTTCTGACTGCATTGTTTAATATGAAACTGTCATAGTGAGTCTCAAGTGGAACACAGCTCTAACAGGTAGATTTTCAAAGATTTGCAATTGTTGCATTTTGGTAATGTTTCAATAACAATCATAAAATGTCTTCCTTTAGTAAATGGACACTTCTGATTTCCAATGTATTGTTTTTAAACCTTATAGTAAAGTGAGGGAAGGCTAATTTTGAAATACTCTTACGTTTTCCAAATGAAAAGTTAATTTGCAAAAACAGATAACTCCGTTTTTTAAATCATTTTCAAAAATCATGTTTTTTCATTGTGCATTCCAATAAACTCAATCAAACTGCAGTTATTTTGATTAAGTGAAAAATAATAAAAAATACAGCTAACTAACACAACAAATCACAATAAACGGAATTATCTGTTTTTGCAAATAAACTCTTCAAATATTCCAGTTATGCTTGTCACCTTTGCGCAGTGTTTGGGTTGTGGCATGACTTTTATTTTGTAGTATTCACCACAGACTAGTGTAGCTCTACTCGTAATCGCTGGCTTCACAGAACCTAGAACAACTATGGCGGAGGTAAGAGAAACATTACAAATTGCAGCAAATAACGCACTTAAGCGGTCAGTGCAATCTTTTAATAAAATTAACTTCATTTTTTATTTTAAATATTACAACGATGATGTACTTCTTAACATTCAGCCCTGAATAATTAGCAATCAGGTTAGGGCGCCCAATTTGAATGTGTTATATAGAGTAAAACGGTCAGAATTGCGAGATGTACACTGAAAAAAACGTTTATATCTCACAATTCTTAGAATTTTGAGAAAAAAGTATGAACTGTGAAATATAAACTCAGAATTGGGAGGAAAAAGAAAGAAAAAAAAAAATATATATATATTTTTTTTAACCAAAAAATAGTTTTATCCCATGCACACCAAGCCTGCAGTTATTTGATCCAAAATTAGGGATGTAACGATTCACTCAACTCACGATTCTATTCACATTTTTTTTCTTTTTTTTTTAACAAAATGAGATTTAAGACAAATTATAAATGAAATGTGTCCTTTTATTATTGCTTGGACAAAATGCTGCATGCTTCTTTGTGAAATTGAAATATAACACTATAATAATATACTACTATAGCACTTGTATATTATTGCTCTTTTGTTGGTTTTGATTGCTTCTGTTATCCTCATTTGTAAGTGGCTTTGGATAAAAGCGTCTGCTAAATAACTACATTTTAATGTAAATGTAAATAACAAAACTAAATTGACATTTTAAAACAAACCCCAAATCAAATAAATAATTAACACAAATAAAGTAAATCTCTTTATATAAACAAAATAAGGCTTTGTCTGTGCTTTTTCTGTTTAAAATGAGAGGCAACCACTGCATTTTAATCATGATCCAAACAACGATGCTGCATACATGCAACATGAGCAGTTTTTAATCTAAATTACATTGTATAATTTCGAAATTTGAAACAAAAACAGAATGGTTTGACTTCAGTTTTGTGAAACTATACATAAAAATATCTGCATGAAACAGAAACAGCAGACGAGCTGAATGAGATGCAGTTTCCGCTGTAAACAAAGCAGCGCTGCACTTATGAACTTTAATATGCATTATACAGAAGCAAGATGAAAATACAAAATACAGCAAAAGCAGTAATATTGTTAAATATTTTTACTATTTAAAATAACTTTCTATTTGAATATATTTTAAAGTGTATTATTCCTGTGATCAAAGCTGTATTTTCAGCATCATTACTCCAGTCTTCAGATCCTTCAGAAATCATTCTAATATGCTGATTTGCTGTTCAAGAAACATTTATTTGTATTATTATTATTAATATTTAAAACGGTTCCAGATCCAAAGATCAGCATTTATCAGAAATAAAAAGCTTTTGTAACATTATGCACTATACCATTCAAAAGCTTGGAGTCAGTATCATTTTTGGGAAAGAAATGATAGCAATTAATACTCGTATTTATAAAGACATTTTATAAATACGATGATAAAGACATTTATAATGTTACAAAGATTTCTATTTCAGATAAATGCTGTGCTTCTGAACTTTCTATTCATCAAAAAAAAACTGAAAATATTCTACTCGGCTGTTTTCAACAATAATAATAATACAAAAAAAAATTTGAGCATCAAATCAGAATATTAGAATGATTTCTGAAAGATCATGTGACTGGAGTAATGATGCTAAAAAGTCAGCTTTGAAATCACAGGAATAAATTACATTTGGAAATATATTCACATAGAAGACAGTTAAAGAAGGCAAAATATATTTAAAAATGTTACCGTTTTTTGCTGTACTTTGGATCAAATAAATGCAGGCTTGGTGAGCAGAAGAGACTACTTTAAAAAACATCAATACTGTTCAAAAACTTTTGACTAGTGTATACACACGCATACTACCATTCAAAGGTTTATGAACAGTAAAAGTGACAGTAAAGACACTTCATATAACAAAAAATCCTGAAAAAATGTATCACCGTTTCCACAAAAATAGTAAGCAACATAATGTTTCTTTATATCTACCAAATCAGCAGAACACACTATATTATTTATGATATATTATTTCAAATGTACACTTGCACAGATGTTTTTCATTCATTGTACCATCTAGTAGATGCCTGGTAGGACCAGCAGATGGTGATATAGATTCAGAGTCTAACTAGATGGAGCTCCATGTGACTTTTTGTTTTAAAGGGGATGAGGAAGAATCTGAAGATGATGATTATATTCCATCTGAAGATTGGAAGAAGGTAGATGTTAGATGATTTTCGCTCAAATGCTTATTTTTTTTAATGATTTCAGACATGAATTTTTTCTTCTGTCATTCCTAGGAAATCATGGTTGGTTCAATGTATCAAGCAGAGACTCCTGTTGGCCTTTGCATGTATAAGGATAATGAAAAAGGTGACAGAACTGAATGAAATGGTTATTTAGATGTGATGTGTGTTTGTGTATATATATATATATATATATATATATAATACATATTTTTACATACACATTTTTGTTCTTCATCGGTTTGTCTCCTTTAAATGTAGTGTATGAGAATGAAGATCAGCTATTGTGGAATCCAGAGTTAATTCCAGAAGAAAAGGTTGTAGAGTTTTTAGCCGAGGCCTCTAAATGCAGCGGGGAAGAGACTGGTGTCTATGCAATTCCTGAAGGATCTCATATCAAAGACAATGAACAGGCAGGTCACCATCCAATGGCATATTTACTTAAATCATATTGATGATTCCCTTTTGACATCATGTTGTAATGTAAATCTAATTCCTTTGCTTCCATTTCAGGCTCTTTATGAATTGTTTAAATGCAACTTTAATTCAGAAGAAGCTTTAAGAAGACTGAAATTTAATGTGAAGCCTGCCAAAGGTGAGTGTTTGTGTGTGTGTAAAAAATTACGTTAGTTTAATATTACATTACAGGGTTTCTGCAGGTCTTACAAAGTCTAAATTCTGCCATCAACAAATTGAAAAAGACTTAAATAAGAGCAGAAAGTCTTAAATCATGAAGTCTTGGTATTAAATGCCAATGCCATTGCATGCATTGCGAAAAATGAATATCTACCTCAGTATTTTTGTTTTCCAATACAAATATCCTTAAATCAAGATATATTTACTTGAGATGCACATTTAAGGTCTTGACAAATTAAACAAAAATAAGTGAGTTTATGCTTAAAACAAGAACAAATAGGCCCTGCTGTCGGTTCGATATGAAAACTTGTTTTCTCTTAGAACTAAGTTCCGAGCTTATTGGCAAATATTTGTTCTTATTTTAATAATGAACTGTCATTTTGCTGCTTGAGTAAATGTATCTTGATTTAAGAATCTTTACACATTTGCACTGGAAAACAAGACAATAATGAAGAAGAACATGCAGTGTAATAAGAATGCACAGTAAAAGTTATTTCCATATTCTAGTGGCTGGGAGCAGAGGTATTCAAGCCTTAAGCTTTTTTTGTAAAATGAGTAAAAAAGTAATGGAGATTAGTTGAAAGTTGCATTTTCAAACCTTGAAGTGTTGCTAATACAACTCATTGTGTGTTCTCTAGAACATATTGATGGTATTGTTATCTTCAATTTATGCCTTAATTTTTTGGTCACACTTTAGTTTGGGGACCAGTTCTCACTATTAACTTTAACTATGACGTCTTATGCCTCAATTAGATACTAATTTGCTGCTTACTAATAGTTAGTTAGGTAGTTAAGTTTAGATGTGTGGTAGGATTAAGGGATCTAAAATATGGTCATGGAGAATAAGGCATTAATATGTGCTTTATGAGTACTAATAAACAGCCAGTATGCTAGTGTTAGATCCTTTCTGTATTAATCCCCTGACTTTTATGGAAATTAAATGTACCTTAGATTGCAAAATGAAATGTTGATGTGGAAATAAAACAAACAATATATTGACTTCTGAAGTACTGTACTGGATATTCATTGCAATACCCATGTGCCACAATAATGTTCCTGAATTATCTTTACTTGGGGGCTAAATCTTTAAAAATATTTTAATGTTTACAGCTTTAGTAAAACATAGTGTGGCTTCTGCATGAAGTTTATGATAGCAGCATGTGCTTCTCAAAACTCTTGGCTTCTATGAAGTAATGTTTTTCACTATGTTATTTTGGGAACTATGAAAAGCTCTAAGCCTGTGATAACATAGCTCTCAGCACGTCAGTCAACATTCTCTCAATGTGTCACCTAAACTAAAATCTCTCTTTCCCTCAGAGGAAATGTCAGTTTGGACGGAAGAGGAGTGTCGAGGTTTTGAGCAAGGACTCAACACTTACGGAAAAGATTTCAGCTCAATACAAATGAATAAGGTTAGTGTTTAGTCTCATTCCTCATTCCAAAACCTTGCTGTTGTTATACAATTTGAACTGTTCAAATACTGAATAATTTAGAGTAATCAGTTGGTGAACTTGGCTGTTTCTTTTTTTTGGCTTTCACAAAGGTAATTGTTACTTAATTAAACTTTTCCAGGTGAGAACTAGATCTGTAGGGGAATGTGTGGCCTTTTATTACATGTGGAAGAAATCTGAGCGTTATGATTTCTTTGCACAGCAAACCAAGCTTGGAAAAAGAAAATACAGTCTTCGCCCTGGAGTTTTGTAAGTCAGTCGTCAATACCATGTGGCACATTAAAAGTCACAAGTCTAAGTCCTCTAATTAAACTCTGTGTATATAGAATCCGATGCAGTGTAAGGTCATATTCTGCCTGGTGTTTGTTTGGCATTACAGAGATTATATGGAGTGTATTTTGGAGAGCTCTGAGTCCAGTGGATCTTCGTCTTCACTTCCCACCTTTTCAAACAGCAGCAAACACCCATCTGAGCCAGAGAGTGACACAAATACCCAGAATGGTCAGGCTCATCAGACTCGCACACTTTTTTTTTTTTACTAATATATATATATATATAACAATGGCGTTTTAGTGCCATGTTAAAAAAGAAAAAAAAAATCTAAGATTAAAGTTGAAATATTACAATAAAGTCTAAATGTTTCATCAATTCGTAGCAATTACGAGATTAAAGTTATAATATTTTGAGAGTATATTCTAGCCTATTGCGGCCGAATTGGGAGCACTGGGAGAAATTGAAAGTCTTTCAAATTCTGTCAGTTTTATAGCAAAACACAAACAATATGTCTTACAATAATGTGTTTTTCACGCTCTTTAATAAACTAATTTCCCTACGTGAAAAATATAGCACTACAAGGTTACTAAAAATAAAAGAAATAAAAAATCCATTTATAGTACAATATATACAACCTGTGTTCATATATCGTTATAAACCATTACAACTATACATACTGTGAATAATTTAGTAACAATTCATCTGATGATGTGAAGACTAATAAAATATTAGTTTTTTTTTCTTCATTAAGTGACACTTTGTGGAGTTAATCCACAAAAAAGTATTTATTATTAAATGTATTATGTGTCTTTAAGAATATTAAATGTATTCTTCTGATTTCACAGGTTTAGGAAGCCATTCCTCCATGCCCCTTCTCTGCGTCACAGATGAGATATCTCAGACAAACGGCTCCGCCACGTGTCCAGATATTTCCACAGCAAACACACCACCCTGCTCTAACCCTGACACCAGCAGCCCGAGCACACAAGTCATGGAGATCACAGTCAAACAGAAGGAGGAAGAAGAACTCTGTGAAAGACCTCTCAAAAGGCTTCGGACTGACACAGAGCCCAGCAGTGAGGGGTCTGTCCCCCACAACAAAACAGAGACCGTCTGACTCACCAGCAGAAACCCAGAACTCCTGACCTCAGATGAGGGGTTGATACAGGCCCTGTTTTTAGCATGAAGGTAGCTGAGATGTGTGTGTGAATTTCAGGGATGCAAATGAAGCACATTTCTGTCCTTTCACATTACTGCCGCTGAGCTCAGTTCATATCTCAAACACTCATGATAGACTGTCATATCAGACAACTCCGTAGCACTATTTATTAATATAGGTTAAGATGATCAATGTAATTCTGTTTGCTCAAGGTTGTTTGAAAGAAAGATCTGACAGATTGTATTTTGTGAAACTTTTGTCGTTTGGTGTGCATAACATTGCTGTAAATGCACACTGTGGAAACGCCCTCTTGATTTTATATGAAGTGTAATACTGTAAATATTCAAAATCTTTCTAACGTTGCAACATTCCATCCTTTTCATTTCTGAATTTCCTATTTGACCAAAGTGAATGGTTGATATTGGTCTTTTAACACCAAGCATTTTTAGAAGATATTTCCTCTTTATATGAAATATTGTCTTATTTTTGTATTTGATAGCTATTTATTTTTTTTAATCAGCTATTGGTGATGCATGAGGCCAGTATACAGAGTATATTTGTATAGGCTGGAACGAGTAGTCTTGAATTAAAAAGGCAGAGCAGAAATGAATGGTGCTATTTATTCATTTTCTCACTGTGAGAATGTCAACCCATCCTTTTTTTACGTTTTCTAGGACCTCTGTTATTCCTGTCAGAAACGGTAGAGGAAAATGGAATCTACGGTTTTTGTAAACTGGTTGTCATTCATGTCTGCATAGCTCAGGAAAATAAGTACAGCAACATAGGGTGTGTCAAATAGTTGTCAGTTTCAATTAGTGAACTACTCATTCATTAAACTCATTAAAAGACTATTTACCCAAATTCATATTTTCTCTTTTCTGTCATTACTGAAGTGAATCAGAGCTCGTCACCTCATTACCACATTTTAGTGGAGTGGATTGTATGCTGAATAAAGATATTTTGCTGAAAGATAGTTCTTAATTCAGAGAATCTTTTCTAGTGTTTATTTCTGTCCTTGTCTTTCACAAGCTCTGACTAGATTTACACCAATCGAGTTGGTCATATGGTCGAAGAGCTTTTGTTTGTTTGTCTATACATATGCCTGTACAGCAGGTGTCAGTGCTGCTCTTAATATAGCTGGAAACAAAATACAAACATTGCTTTTAATTCGAAGCACGTTATTTAACAAGGTAGCATGGGGTTAAACAACCTAAGGGCTAAATGGTCATACTATTCTATGGGACCACATACAATGCAATCTTGGCATTACCAGCCCAAGACAGTGAATATGGAGAGAAAAAAAAGAAAATTGTCTTCAACTCGTGCAGTTTACGACTGAAGATTCAGTCTCTGTATATCAAAAGCGGAATAGAGGCAGAACATAAGTGCGCATAAGCGTACGACCACTGCTGAAATGTTCCTGGAATACTAAACGCAGAGTTTAATGTTTAGCTTCACAAAAGCATTGCAGCTTTGTTCTACAGACGTGTCTGGTTGCCGCTCTCTGGGGAACACTTGTTGTTGGAGATCCCTCAGCTGCCGGCTCGATTCACAGTGGACGAGTGTAGCACAGTATAACCGAGAATAAAACAGGAGAGCCAACACACAACACAGATGTGAAGCGCAAATGAACAATCATGGAAGAAATGACAAAGGAGCATTTCGAGACGATATGAGGCGATGAGCGAGCTTAGGTGAGAGAGGAAAAATACACAACATATTGGAGCAGTATGGAGAAAATTGTCTTCAACTCTAGCAGTTTACGACTGAAGATTCAGTCTCTGTATATCAAAAGCGGAATAGAGGCAGAACATAAGTGCGCATAAGCGTACGACCACTGCTGAAATGTTCCTGGAATACTAAACGCAGAGTTTAACGTTTAGCTTCACACAAGCATTGCAGCTTTGTTCTACAGACGTGTCTGGTTGCCGCTCTCTGGGGAACACTTGTTGTTGGAGATCCCTCAGCTGCCGGCTCGATTCACAGTGGACGAGTGTAGCACAATATAACCGAGAATAAAACAGGAGAGCCAACACACAACACAGATGTGAAGCGCAAATGAACAATCATGGAAGAAATGACAAAGGAGCATTTCGAGACGATATGAGGCGATGAGCGAGCTTAGGTGAGAGAGGAAAAATACACAACATATTGGAGCAGTATGGCTAAGGATACTGACTTTTATATATTTATTACAATTACATAAATTAGAATTGTGATTTAAAATGCAAATTCACATATAAAAGAGATAGATTCAAATTCTATAATGTATTCTTCTGTCGAAGGACAAACCAATGAGAGTTAATAATGTATTGGTACAGCCATGACAGGACAGGTGCTTTTTAAGTAAAAAAAATAAAAAAATAATTATATATACACACACACACACACATATACAGGTGCATCTAAAAAAAATTGAATATCGTGAGAAAGTCCTTTTCGTAACATTTCAAAAAGTGAAACTTTCATATATTCTAGATCCATTGCATGTAAAGTAAAACATTTCAAAAGTTTTTTTTGTTTTAATTTTGATGATTAGAGCTTACAGCTCATGAAAGTCGAAAATCCAGTATCTCAAAACAGAATAGTTCCTAAGATCAATAAAAAAGGATTTGCAAAACATAAAAGTTCAAGTTATTTAAAGTATGTTCATTTATGCACTCAATAATAATTCTTTAGCACAAACGACAGCATCAGTGAGGTGTGGCATGGAAGCGATCAGCCTGTGGCACTGCTGAGGCACTATTGAGCCTTCAGCTCGGATCGACTGTTTCTCATCTTTCTCTTGAAAATATCCCATAGATTCCATATATGGGGTTCAGGTCAGACATTTTGGCTGGCCAATCAAGCACAGTAATATCATGGTCAGCAAACCACTTGTGGTTTTGGCACTGTGTGGGCAGGTGTTAAATTCTGCTGGAAAAGGAAATCAGCATCTCCATAAAGCTTGTCATCACATGGAAACATAAAGTGCTCCAAAATCTCCTGGTAGACGGCTGCATTGACTTTGGACTTGATAAAACACAATGGACCAACACCAGCAGACGTCACGGCACCCCAAATCATCACTGACTTCACACTGGACTTCAAGCAGCTTGGATTCTGTGCCTCTCCAATCTTCCTCCAGACCTTAATTTCCAAATGAAATGCAAAATTTACTTGTATTTGAAAAGAGGACTTTGGACCACTGAGCAACAGTCCAGTTCTTTTTCTACTTAGCCCAGGTAAGATGCTTCTGACGTTGTTTCTGTTTCAGAAGTGGCTTGGTACCCCTTTTCCTGAAGACGTCTGAGCCTGGTGACTCTTGATGCACTGATTACAGCTTAAGTCCACCCCTTGTGAAGCTCTCCCAAGTGTTTGAATCTGCTTTGCTTGACAGTATTCTCAAGCTTGCGTTCATCCCTGTTGCTTGTGCACCTTTTCCTAGCCAATTTCTTCCAGTCAACTTTGCATTTAATATGCTTTGATACAGCACTCTGTGAACAGCCACCCCTTTCAGTAATGACCTTCTGTGACTTACCCTCTTTGTGGAGGGTGTCAATGATTGTCTTCTGGACCATTGCCAAGTCAGCAGTCTTCCCCATTATTGTGGTTTCAAAGAACAAGAAATATCCGGAATTTATACTGATGGTCATCTAATGAAACTCACATGTAAATATTCTAATATTTTGAGATACTGGATTTCTGACTTTCATGAGCTGTAAGCTCTAATCAAAATTAAAACAAAAAAAACTTTTGAAATGTTTTAATTTACAGGTAATGAATCTAGAATATATTAAAGTTTCACTATTTGAAATGATACAAAAAAAAAGAACTTTTTCATGATATTCTATTTTTTTGAGATGCACCTATATACATACATTATATATATATATATATATATATATACTTGATTTATTTATTACATGTCTTGTTTTGTGAAGCTATTTTTCATTATACCTGTGTGCGAGACTTAGTAATATTAATTCTATTAATTTAAATCAAATCAAAAGTCAGAACAGTGGACAAATTCAGACCAATTTTGCAATATATAGTGATTTTCCAAATATACAGTGAAAAGATTATAAAGAAAAGAACTCAAAAGAACAATTTATTCACAAATTTGACCACTATTTGTCATGAATGCACCAAACAAAGCTAGGATGGATGATGCTCATCAATAAACTTTAGGTGCGTTAGTCTAAGGCCCTGTCTGAAATGGCACACTTCACGTGCACTTGCGTACTTACATTGGCTGCCACATGTGCATGTCCATTAAGTCCTTGAGATCATAAGGTGTCGCATTCATCAATTTAGCTTTCAGAAGGGTGTCTTACGTCACTAAAGTGTGTGTGTGCGCACTTTATGTATCCAGATGATGCACTTAAACAAAAAAGCAAAGTGCGGAGAATTGGACATTTCATGCATTCTGCAGTCGCAGTTTTAATTGCGTAGCGGAGGGGAAGGGGCTATAAGACTCTCATGTACACTAGTTGAGTACATAGTACATAGTGTATAGTACGCCATGTGGGACGAAATTTGAAGTTGCTATGAAATGGAAAGAAGCAACAGATTTTTACTTGCATATTGTGATGGAGATCCAAGTGTAACTTGTTATAAAAACAAAAGAAAGAAAGAGGGCAGGACTTGACTTGTTTTTATTGGTTGGATTTTGAGTTGTGGGCGTGGCACTCAAAAATGGAGGTAGAATGTGAGCTTGCAGGGGTGGGGTTTAAACTGGCTAAATGATTGGAGAAATCTTGCATACGTCAAGCATACATTTTGTAAATATATGTACATAACACATTTAGAAAATTTTAATTTTGGGTTTTGGAACAAATTTAGTCAGATTTGAAACTTGAACGCTCCTGTTCAAGTTCACAGTAACTGCATAGTAGCATTTCTTCTTACAGGTTTGGAATGACATTGGGGCTAAATAAAATTTTGGGTGCACTATCCCTTTAACAAAAAAGCAGGATATTGGGTTTTAATCCCAAATGCTACTTTTCATTTCCCCATCCTAATCAGTATTACCTTCATGCTTTCCATGGCCTTTTTCCAGCTCCTTGTTTATTTGTGAACAACACGCTCCCTGGTACAAGAACGAATTTTTTAGCAGTAATTAAGTCTTAATAGCTTTTAGCGAATGCTCTGTCTCTCCCTTTCACCTAGACAGATGACACAGACACACCCAGCTGCCTTTGCCACAGTGGGACCAGCTGCATAATAATTGGATGTTCGCACAGTAGGAGGGAGCGCTAAATGTCATCTGCTGTGCTAAAATAAAGCTGAAAAAAAGAGGAAGAGGAAATAACTGTACTTGTGAAAATATCCTTTTCTTTTCTAGAGGGACAGCAGCGATTGGGGAAAAAAACCTTTCATAGATTCTCTTTGAGGACTGTTTTCAGAGACTTCTACAATGGGCAAAGTAATTGAACCAACAAAGAGAATCATAAATAGGGTGGTCTATGTAGAAACGAACCAGGGTGCCCTAACAACTGTTGGTCCCCTACTGCAGGCCAAATCCGCTTGGGGAGGAGAGCTTAATTTCATTACACAATCCATTGGCAGCTACCATTAAAGACTGCTTAAAAAAAGCAGCATTCCTCAATATCATCAGGTCTTACATAAAGAGCTACAATAGAGTGAATTAGTGTCCACTCTTTCAGCAGCTTTGGTTCCAGAAATATATTTCCCATTCATTTATAAACCAAATCAACCAGCTGTGAGGTCAATCACAACATTATAATCTTTGATTTGAATCAAAAAAGGATTTGAGAATTGGACAAGACGAAAAAGGTTCAAGATGGAGTATATAACAACTTTAGTGACGAAAAAAAAAAACTACAATCAAATGAAGCATTGCAAATGACGATATATACTCACTCAACATGTTTGTTTCTGTGAATTGTGGGGACTTTCCATAGATTTCTATTACT